TATTATGTTTAGAAAAAAGTTCATGATTTCTCTCTCTATAAAAATACATGAGTAATTATATTAAATAACTATAATATTGGAAAATATAACAGTGGGACACAAAATTCTCTCCAAAGTACGATAATACATTTTCCGAAGATTTTTTTCGCACTAAACACAAAGCCGTTGTCGGAATTTACTTAAAATGTTAGGATTTGAAGTAAATTCAAATGAAAGAGGCCAAAAAAGATGTTTTTGGCCATTTTTAACATTTTTTTGCAGCAAAAAGAAAATTAAATAAACTTAATGGTATCTGAATGAAAGTAATATAATTCAAAAGCTTTCAAAACGAATTTTAGTTCATCACTGTATGACTTTTTTTCATCGAGTTATGCTGTTTAATTTTTAGATGTGTCTGATGATCTGTATAATTTACAAGATAGGTAAATATACTTATATATAACAGCAAATAAAAAATAATTTGTAATATGAATTTACTTGCAAAGAATAGATCCAAAAAGAAAATAGTTTAATCTTTACAAAAAAATGTAATCAGACATCCTGTTGATCCTAAAAATTATTTCATCATTTCTGCATATTAATGCATGTTAGGTCTAATGTCTAATTTCGTGAAAATATTGAATTAAATTAAATCTTTAAATGTATTTCGAAAATTGAGCATTGCAAAAAATGAAGTAAACATTCGCAAGCAAATATATATTTTTTTCTTGTACTGCAGATTATACAAAAATTCAGTCATAATTTGATAAAAAAGTTATACAATGATGAACCAAAATTCGTTTGAAAGCTCTTGAATTATACTTTCAGATGCTATTGAGTTTATTTAGGAACCAGTTTTTTTTTGCCACAAAAATGTTAAAAATGCCATTTTTATTTTAATGTTCTCAAAATCCTAACGTGCTAGGCAAATTTTAACAACGGCATCATGTTCAGCGCGAAATCTTCAGAAAACGTACTATCGTACTTCGAAGAGAAGGAAAAAGTGATTTGTTTGTTTCTCTCCAAAGAATTCCACTGTGTAATTATGTATTTAAACTAAAAAAAAAAATATATATATATGTATAAGTATTCAACACGGTCCCCCCGATTTTTTAAACGTTTCCGCATAGGTGGCGCCAAGAGTGGGTCTGGGTGAGCCTTAGGCCACCCTTTGGCCTACCTTAAAATTTTAGAAAATTTTAGCATACTATAATTATATTGTCTTATTCTGTCCAAGTTTTCAGCTTTTTTTATGAAGTTATTTTTATAATTCTATAATTAATTTTGAATTCTACCTTCATAATTAATTTTACACTATATTCGGCTTATCTCTCCCGGAGACTCGATTAAAGCCATTTTTAGCCAAACAATCCAAACAAACATTAAATACATAATAAATATGACCCATCCATATAAACGCTGGCCTACCTATGACCTACCCGCATGAATAGTTCTGGCGCCGCCTATGTATTTCCGACAATTAAAAAAAAAGTATATACAGTGAAAATTAATCTATTATGCAAGCTATAATACACAAAAAATGTTTTCTTAAAAATATCCATGTCACTTTGAATTTTTTAAATAAAACCATATTTTTTATAAATCGATTCCTCACAATATTTTGCAAAAAAAGTTTATGAGAGTAGGATGAAAAAATGAAGTTTACGAGATATTTTATACTTTAATTTGACATAATCTTACATAAATTCACAATTCACTGGTCAACATTAATTTTGTCACAAAAGGAATGACAGGTCCTTCTGTGATACACGAGTTCACAGTACTGTCATATGTTTTTTGTTTCATAACATTAAAGTTTAAAGTTCAAACTTTAATGTTGAACTCACATAAAGTATTCATCATATTCATCATACTCTGTCATGTCCTGTTTCTTTGTAACAAAGATTTAAAAGATGCTAAAAACGGTTTTTTTAATTTTTGACCTCGTTTTTTTCCAAAAATGTGACGTGATGGAACAGTATGAATTTCAAATTCGTAATCTACGGGAAAAATCCTTTCGAAATGTCCTGTCATTCCTTTTGCGATATAAAAAGTCAAAAAAAATGTTAACTAGTATTAAATATTTCATAAAATACTCATTTTCTGATACCATAATACCTTTATGCATAAAATAATTAAAGTGATCAATTGGTATAAAGAAAATATAATTTTTTGTAAGAAGAAGTATGTAATTTGCAACTAGCAGCTGCATATTTTTTTTAAAAAACAACTGTGTTCTCTTTGATTTATTTTATGAAGAAAAGATTATATAAACATATGCCCTAAACTGCATTGCTTTTAAAATATAAAATATCAAAATTGTGAAAAACAAATCTGTAGAAAAATATGAGGGATATAGATTGATCAGATACATCGAACTTCAAATCTTCGAAATACCAAATAGAATAAAGCGGGTGACTTATTGATACATATAATATTCAATTTTTAAATTAGTTTTTATAGTTCTTAATTCCAATTTTTTTACTTTAACTCGAAAACAATTCATTGTTAAAAAGATGATAAATTTTGTAGTTTTAGTTCGAATTTTTTTAAAATTGTTTTTAGAAAAAATGGTCTCCCATTTTCTCATTAAAAAAATTTAATTTGATTTATCCAAACGGCCTTGGTAGATCTAAAAATATTTCATCGGTACTATGGATTTTTAATATCAAATGTATGTATATAAAAAATTAACATTTTCTTTAAACGTTTCAGAGATTTTAAAAAATTTTATATTATTGTTCATAACTCTGACATTTTGTATTTTGAAAATAAAGCAGTCTAGAACATATGTCTATATAATCTTTTTTTCATAAAATAAACCAAGGAATATCCCCTTAAATCTCATTTGCCCTCACTTAAGAAGTACTCTATGATATATAATTATATAGTGTTGTGTAAATGCTATATAAATAGCCTCGACATATGATTTTTGCTTCGAAATAATCCCAAGAATCTGATCAGGTGATGTGCTAATTAAAAGACGTTTTGTATAATATATGTCTAAAATAATAATTATTAAATATCACTAGCGAATCCTGGGAGGGGGGAGGGGTTAATAAATCGCCCCTTGCAATTTAAAAAAAATTCGTCGTTGATCCTGGAATAAAAGCTAAGCATGAAAACAAAAAATATTAAATAAATAATTTTGCAGACCCCCCCCCCATTATCGATATCAGGATCCGCTAGTGTTAAATATTAATTAATAAATTTATATTTTAATGGTCTTATACAGAGTATTCCAAAAAAATCGAAACCTTGAAAAACAAAAAATATACGTTTTACAGAAAAAAGTTTCAGACAAAAGTTGTAAGGTTTTAAAAAATATATTTATTGATCTTATCAATTTGACCTTGGATGGCATTACCAAGATAAGAATAAGGTCACTTTGAATTTCTTAAATGGAACCCTATATTTTTATTACATATTCTTGTAGCTTATCTCGAGAGCTTTTCAAAACACTAAATTAAGTTATTTTTTATAAGGTACTTTCCGAGTTACAAGGCTTGAAAGTTATACCTAACCGCCGGCATTAGCGTTATTTAAATAGGAAACCCTCTTTTTTACTCCAAAATCGGATAAATGGATAATTTTACATGTTTCGACGTGTAGTCGTGTTAGAGTCAACGTATTCCTAAGAGTCATTTGAAAATCGAACTCGTATTGTTTAAGATAAATTGCTCAATAAATCATGATATTATTAAAATGAAAATCTAATAAAAGCCCATTGATTTTTAGGGGTCACATTTAAAAATTCAAAGTACTTCTACAATGTAGTTCTAATTAGATATATAAGAATGTTGTACGTTTTGTATGATATCAATACAAACTAATTATTTATCGCAACTAAAAAATCTTGTCGTAAACTTCATTATTGTTCATGGTTGTGATCTCTTGAATTAGTGAAGGTTTTTCCGTATTCTTCAACATCCTTACATACAGACTTTCTTTCTTCCATTCGTCTTCATTTTTGAAATTTGTTTGAATTGTAATTACGACAAGCCTTTCAAAACTGTAACTTTCAAGCTTTGTAACTCGAAAAATACCTTATAAAAAATAACTTAATTATGTTTTGACAAGTTCTCGAGGTAAGCTACAAGAATAAAAATGTAATAAAAAATATAGGGTTTCATTTAAGTAATTCAAGGTGACCTTAATCTGATCTTGGTAACGTCACCCAAGATCAATAAATATATTTTGTACAACCAGCGCGCGAAAAGTTGCCCTTTACGCACATGATGGGATTTCAGAAAGGGCTCCCTTTCCACGCACCGGTCACACAAAATATCGTAGCCAACATGTACGGGTCATAAATCAGCCGATCGTGCAGATTGTCACACTCGGCTTCGCCTCGTGCGCCAAACTTCCGCACTCTCGGCCGATTTACGATCCCCCGCACTTGTTAGCTAATATACTATTTTAAAACCGTACAACTTTTGTCTGCAACTTTTTTCTGTGAAACGTATATTTTTCGAGATTTTTCAATGTTCCAATCTTTTTGGAACATCCTGTATAATGCATCTTTAAAGAAAATAATTAATGTTATTATATACTTTTTTCTAATAAAGATATTAGATATACTTAAATTACATGTGTTACCAGATATATAAACATCACTTAACATTTTTTCTTTCTTTTTCTCATATGAAATACAAAACATTTAATGTAAAACAATCAAATATTTTTAAGATTTAATTTCTCTCACTATAATATTTTAAAAATGCATACAAATATTTCAGTTTATAAATCTTGCTGCGATCTCGAAAATGTGATTAAAAGAATGCTTTAGAACTCAAAAAATCCTTTACTATATCAAGAACTCTCAAGAACGCATCATCAATTAATAAACAACTTGCTAATTAAATATTTAACTTATTTGTCGTGATCTTAAAAAAAGCCTTTTTAATGTATTTATTTTATTTCTTTGAGAGGATTAAGTCTTGAAAATATTCACAAATTGAAATTTCAGAACATTTTGTTTAGAAAGTTCTAAAATTTTACTGAATATAACACCTGAGATATTTATTTTCATAACTTCAAAAATATATTTGTAGATAAGAAAACATTTACAATAATAAGTTAGGAAAAAGTTTCTTTCCTTTACCTTTTTACTGTAAAATATAGACAGTAATTGTCCTTTTTAATCTATACTGCACTTATTTAGATTTTGAAATATTATGCCACATCATATACTATCGCAATGCAGGAATGATTTTATCTCAATGCAGGAATATACCACAAGAGTTAGTAGTAACTGTTCCATAATAGTGAAATATATTTACATTAAACAAAATATTGTCTCTAATCAGCTTTACGTGGCTTACGTTTGCGAACATTAGGACTACTTGTATCAGTTTTAGTATCCTTATCCTTTTCACTCACTTCAAGTTCCTTTACTTCAGATTCTTTTGTTTCAGGTTCTTCTACTTCAGATTCCTCTTCATCCACTAAATCATCTCCGACGTTTTCAGCAATTTCATCTTCATCCAAACCTCTTTCCTGTGTGGAATTATCCAGTGTACCATCTTGTTTCTTTTTACTTTGCTGTTGCGCAGGTTTTGGTGGATAAATAAAGTCGATCAGGCACACAATAAACTGCACATTATTATGAATATAAGTTATTCTTCCATTTGTTATTCATATGAAATTCGTATTTGCATAAAAGATATCACTCACTAGTCCTAATATTGCACCCAAAATAATTGTTGCAACAGCAAAAATTAAATAACTGCCCCATGTAGGTAATCCGATATCTTCCAAAAGTTTGTTATGAATACCCTAAGATGGAAAAAAATTATTAAATTTAAATACTTTTAACATTATTATACAATTTTGTTTGTAAGAATCAAAGTCAAGCATTTCAATTCCATATATATATATATATATATATATATATATATATATATATATATACATATATATATACACATATATTATATTGCTCTATGTATGTGTGTATGCGCGAGCGCGCGCGCGCACACACACACACACACACATTTGCAGAGTACCCTATTTTAAAACTTTAAATTTAACTAAAAGTCAATTATCTTAAAAATTAAATATTTTTGAGAAAAACCGTTCTACATAAGTTATAGAGTTTTGAGGTGGACATAATATCATAACTCAGAATTGCTCTTAAATACCGTTTCTCAAAGATATTTAAAGATTAATCTAACCTTGTTAAATGGAATTACTTTATTTTTATTACATAAATCGCTTCTTCACAGTATTCGATACAAAAAGTTATAAGGGTAGGATGGCTACAAAATGAAGATTACAAGATATTCTATATTTTAATTTGATATAATTTTACATAAACTATGAAATATCTCTTAAGATATTCATTTTTCGATAATTCTACTTTAACTTTTATGCAAAAAATAATGAGAAAAATCAATTGTAAAGAAAACACAGTTGTTTAAAAAAATAAATGTAGCTACTAGGGCAATTTACATACCATCTTTTTAAACAACTTTTTGTTTTTTTTACACCAATTGGTTTCTTTTATTATTTTGTACATAAAAGTATTGAGACAAGATCATCAGAAAATGAATATTTTATGAAATATTTCATAGTTCATATAAGATTATGTCAAACTAAAATATAAAATCTCGTAAATTTTTAATCACTTTTTCATCCTATCCTTATAACTTTTTATGCCGAATATTACGGGGAATTAATTTATGTAAAAAATAGGGTGTTTTGTTTGAGAAACTCTCTCTATGTAGACTTTTAAATAACTTTGAAAAACACCATTCAAAAGCAATTCTGAGTCATAATATATATCCCTCAAAACTATAACTTTTATGTAGAACGTTTTTCTAAACAAAAAAAACCGTTTTATTTTGAATATAATGTAAACTGTAAACTTTAAAATGAGGTAACATTCAGTTTTACATTAACAATAAATGAGAAAATATAAGTTAAAATTAGCATTTTTTAAAATTTAGATAGCGAAAATGATAGTAAACATATGCTAAAATCATAATAATCATAATAATCATAATAATTATATATATATATATATATATATTTAAATTGTTAATATAAAATCTACCTTCAGAATCTGAAAATTGCAGAACTCATATAACAACCAAAATATTTAAGAATTTTTTAAAATTATTTATATTAAATCAATTATATTTAGCTAAAACTTCATATTTAAGAATTTTAGGGGCTATTAATTTCAAATTTATTGTCAAAATTTGTAAATTTAAAATAATAGATTCAATATGGCGATCCAAATAACTAACAATTATAAAATACTAAGACTTTAATAAAGCTCTCAATATGAGAAAATTATATTTAAATTCAACAAATTCAAGAAAAATTGAATTCTTTCTTAGAATTGACACACTATCATTCACATATTGTTCATTAAATTATAAAATATTCATATTCAACAAATAGCAGAAATTCTCTCGAACTTGGATTCGCCATTTTAAATTTTCAAAATTTTACTGCAGATTTAAAATCAGAAATCTCGAAAATTTTTACATACCAAATTTCAGCTTTTTATAACTCGTCATTGAATTTATTAAGATTAACTTGGCTGCTAGATTTAATATTGAATTTGTAAATTTGAATTTTTTAATTTTTTAATTTTTGATTTTAAATTTGTAATCCCAAAATCTCTATTGTATATTAAGCTTCAATAAAATATGTTTAAAAAAATTGTGACATAAAAATTTAAGCAATTTAAATTAAACTGTATGTGCACAAAATTATTCCTCATAAAATCTTTTATGTTAAAAAAATAAAAAATATAATTTTTTATCATTTTTGTTTTTATGTTAATATTGATATTCTGATATAATAAAAGTTCTAGAACATTATTCAAAACAAATATAACAATCGCTTAAGGTATCCACTTAATAGAACTATTTTACAAATTATATTTTTTATTAGTTTAAAATTATGCAACTTTTTATTTTTGATTCTAAAATTTTAACTCCTGCATTAGTAACTAAAGTTTAATAGGTTGTCATTTAATCATAATATACAATATACTGAAATGAAAAGACTGATATGATTACAATAAAAATGAAAAAGAAGTTATCAATCACAAACCAATAAAAATATAAAACAAAATTAATAAAATTTATAAAATAATTCTATTAAATTATACATATCGTCAATCAATTAGGCTCTTTTGTATAAAAACAAATATTAAAAAGGCCATTAAGAGCAAACGTTGTTGACATTAACGAATTTCTATATTTGGTAAATTTAGAAACATGTAAATTATCTATATATTCAAACGAAATTACAAGTGTACGTTTCGGTTCCAATTTGAACCATCTTCAGCACTATTATTTACCTACAAAAAACTGAAATTATTCTTTTTCGTCCTACAATAATTGTCACCAAATTATTTTCAACTGTATAAACATCGGTCATCTATATTGAGTCATTAAATCAAATAACCTGAACAATATATACATATTTGAAGAAAATTTATCAACATATTCATCTAAAATATATATTTGGTCCTATTCTTTCGTTATAGTTGTAATACCTTGTTGACAATGTTATACCCGCTGCATATCTCTTACTAATATTGAAGAAATCGTTCTCCTTTTTTATCCATGAATGTATCGGAACGTATGCTGGTTAAATGACCAAAAGAAAGGATAAACGGATAAAATACCTATAATGATAATCACTCAGTTATATTATTTGTATCAGAACTAAATTTTGATTTTCAACTATGGATATAATATATCTTCAATATTATGTGTCACGCATAAAATACAGTAAATATTCGACTTTTATTCTTTAACATGTTGCTATTATCGGTCTTAGTAGACAACTGACATAGCCAAGAATAAAGTCGACGTGTAACACGTCGAAACGAGACAAACAACCAACCTTGGTAAGCCATATATATACAACATTTATAGACAAACAAGAACCGTTTGAAAAATTCAAAGATAAATGGTTCGTTAATCTATCGGGTGTTGATATCCCAGAAAATATACAAAGTTTTGTACAATTAGGAGAAAATTTTAGTTTGCCTGAAATAAATAATAAAAAACTAACCATGGAGTTCATAAAGAATATTGAGAATAACTTGAAAAAGAAAAAAATTCCAGAGGAAACAATGCATTATTAGATACCGTTCATTCAACATCATAAAGAACATATCAGATTATGCACATCCAAAAAATGAATTTAATGAATATATTTTAGATCTCAATAATATTACCAGTCAATTTCTCAAACAAAACAACAATCTTGTATTTACACGTGCAGATAAGAGAAATATCACTGTTGCTTTAGATAAAAATGTGTACATACAAAAAGTAGAAGAGGTGTTAAATGATAAGAATACATATAACAATATCAAGAAAGACCCTACAAAAAAACTTCTTAACGATCTTCGCGATCTGCTTACAAGATGGAAGAACTCGAATTTCATTTCGTTAGCTTTATATAGAACATTATACAACAGCGACGGTACATTACCAAAAGCTTATGGCCTTCCAAAAGTGCATAAAATAAACTGTCCATACAGAATTATCATCTCATCAATAGATACTCCATTATATGATTTAGAATATTATTTACATAAAACAATACAAAAAAGCATACCCGAATCACTAAGCTTTATTAAAAACAGTTGTCAATTAACAAAAAAACTATCGAATATGCTAATCGAAGATAATTACACCTTAATCTCATTAGACGTTGTGGCATTATTTACCAATATTCCCATAGAATTGGCGATTGAAAGTATTATAAATAGGTGGAATTACATATCTGATAACTGTACAATTCCGAAACAAGAATTTATTATAGCGTTTAGATTCTTACTTAATTCCTCATATTTTACTTTTAATAATAAATGTTATCAACAAATATTTGGTACTCCAATAGAGTCACTATTATCGCCTATTTAAGCTGACATGGTACTACAAGACTTAGAAAATAAAGCTTTAGAGACATTAAAATTTATACCTCCTTTATACGTACGTTATATAGATGACATAGCAATGGCAGTTCCGAATGATTTAACGCGCGAACGATGTGTTAAATACATTTAATTCATTTCATCCAAGACTTAAATTTACCATAGAATTAAGTAATGATAATAAATTAAATTTTTTTAGAATTGACTTTAATTTTACAAAATAATAAAATAATTTGGGATTGGTACCATAAGCCAACATTTTCGGGAAGATATCTAAATTACTTTTTACAGCATCCGTTATGCCAAAAAAGAGGAACAGCCATAGGTTTACTAGATAAAGCCTTTCTACTTTCACATCCTCAGTTCCAAAAAAGAATATCGAATTTATTATTCAACTATTATTAAATAATTTGTTCCCTATTGATTTCATTTTCAAAACCATAAAAGAAAGAGTAAAAATTCTTTGCAGCAAAAATGAGATAATTAACAACAATAAAATTAACAAAACTAATAACGACACATTTTATTTCACAATACCATATATTGTAACCTTATCTGAACAATTCAAAAATATTTCAAAAATTTAAATTTTAAATTAGCCTTTACGAATCCAAATAAATTAAATCATATAATTAAAGTACAAAAAAACAAAACTCAAAGTATAAATAATAATAATGTCGTCTATAAGATTAATTGCAAAGATTGCAACGCTTCTTATGTTGGACAAACAGGCAGACGTTTGATAACGAGAATCTCTGAACATAGATCCCACATAAGACGAAAAACTGATACTAAATCAACTATTATGGAACATAAAATCGAATTTGATCATGAATTTCTTTGGGACGAAGTGGAAATTTTGGATAAAAAACCGAAATATTATAAAAGACTGATATCAGAAATGATTTACATAAATAGACAAGCTAATGGCCTTAATATGCAGACAGATATGGAAGGTTTACATGCAGGATATCTTAACATTATAGATAAACTACTAAAAATCTAATCCTACATATCTTGGGGTAAATACAAAATTTATTCATAATAATAAATATAAAAACAAAAGTTTTTGTTCATCGTTAATTTTACTAAGTAAAAAGTGTTCTAATTTGTTGACACCATATATATGGCTTACCAAAATTGGTTGTTTGTCTCATTTCGACGTGTGACACGTCGACTTTATTCTTGGCTATGTCAGTTGCCTACTAAGACCGATAATAGCAACATGTTAAAGAATAAAAGTCGAATATTCGCTGTATTTTATGCGTGACACATAATATTGAAGGTATATTATATCCATAGTTGAAAATCAAAATTTAGTTTGGTTCTAATACAAATAATATAACTGAGTGATTATCATTATAGGTGTTTTATCCGTTTATCCTTTCTTTTGGTCATTTAACCAGCATACGTTCCGATACATTCATGGATAAAAAAGGAGAACGATTTTTTCAACATTAGTAAGAGATATGCAGCGGGTATAGCGTTGTCAACAAGGTATTACAACTATAATGAAAGAATAGGACCAAATATATATTTTAGATGAATATGTTGATAAATTTTCTTCAAATATGTATATATTATTCAGATTATTTGATTTAATGACTCAATATAGATGACTGATGTTTATACAGTTGAAAATAATTTGGTGACAATTATTGTAGGACGAAAAAGAATAATTTCAGTTTTTTGTAAATAATAGTTCTGAAGATGGTTCAAATTAGAACTGAAACGTACACTTGTAATTTCGTTTGAATATATAGATAATTTACATGTTTCTAAATTTACCAAATATAGAAATTCGTTAATGTCAACAACGTGTGCTCTTAATTGCCTTTTTAATATTTGTTTTTATACATATTGTATTCATTTTTAGCAGCTCTGTAACTTGTATCATATGAAAATATACACTGGTTAAAAAAATTATCGCAACACGTAATTAATATTAAAATTTCGTATAAATTCAAATAAGCGTATCTCCACAAAAAATTATCATATTTGAAAAAAAAAATTTTTTTTTTTGTTTTAAAGGGTGAAGTCTCTACTTTAAGAAACTTTCGTTCGAATTTGATTTCATCTTTTCTCCCTCTCTCCACCCCTTTAAAAAATAAGGTGTTTTTTTTTTCAAAAAATTGCAAAGTTTGACGAACTCTACGGAGTGAAATAAATTTTTTTCGCATATCTTATCCAAATTTTCGTAAAATATGGACTTTTTCCTACAAATTAAAAAAAAAGCAAAATTCGTACGATTTTTTTTGGCAGAGTTACAGCATATCAAAGTTATCTATGCATTTTTGTGCAATTATTACTAATATTAACGATACCAAACGCGCACTAACGATGGTTGCGCGACAAATTGCTAATGAAGATCTCCTTCACCGAATCAGTAATCAAACAATTAGAAGACGTTTACGTGAACGTAGTTTAAGATCGCGAGTTCAATACTTTTTCTCCAAAAGGAAGGATCATACATTTGTTTCATAGATTAGAAGAGGAAAATGTCGAACTTGCGATCTTAAATCACGTTCACGTAAACGTCTTTTAATTGTGTGATCACTGATTCTGTGAGGGAGATCTTCATTAGCAATTTGTCGTGCAATCATCGTTGGTGCGCGTCTGGTACCGCTAATGCTGGTGATAATTGTACAAAAATGCATAGATAACTTTGATATGCCGTAACTCTGCCAAAAAAATCGTACAAACTTTGTTTTTTTTTTAATTTGTAGGAAAAAGTCCATATTTTACGAAAATTTGGATAAGATTTGCGAAAAAAATTTATTTCACTCCGTAGAGCTCGTCAAATTTTGCAATTTTTTGAAAAAAAGAAACACAACTTACTTTTTAAAGAGATGGAGAGAGAGGGAGAGGATGAAATCAAAATCGAACAAAAGTTTCTTAAAGTAGAGACTTCACCTTTTAAAACAAAAAAAATTTTTTTTTAAATACGATAATTTTTCGCGGAGATACGCTTATTTGAATTTACGCAAAATTTTGATATTAATTGCGTGTTGCGATAATTTTTTTGACCAGTGTATATAAAATTTAAAAAAAATTTATTTTGTACACTTCCATTATTCAACTATATAGCTTTTGTGAATAAATAACAATATTCACAATAGAGTTTGATTTAAACTATTTATATATATTTCTTATTATTTACTATCTTTAATTTGAGAAATAAAAGATTAGTAGAGGGACACACACTGTATGTCTAAATTATACATGATACATGCATATATTACTTACTCGTAATACTTGAGATAGTTTAAAAAATTGACTTAAAATTGACATATGAAATGAAGTTGGACTCTTCCAACTAGATATTGGATCAACTTTTGTCCATGTCTTTTTGGATACAAATTCAATTAATGAGGCTTCATCTCGTGGACTTCTATATTGCCTAAATATTCCATTGTTTACACTAGAAAGTAAAAACTAAATTTAAAATGTAAAGTCAGAATTAAATATATGTTCTTAAATCTTCTCCACTATTTAAAAAATTTAATTTACAAAGTATAAATAACTTTAATATAAATTAAATATTGATAAAATATATAAAGTATAATATATATGTGTGTGTATAATATATATGTGTATGTGTAGTATACACAACAATAAAGAGTACAATATAAATCATATTTAAAAATTGCAAACTTACTGAAATATTGTAGGTAAAGCTGTAACCATAAATCTACCACTAAGACCTGGAGAATCTGTCACATCTATTTTCCCAACATTAATATTAAGATTCTTCTTTAATGATGCAAGATGCTCCCAGATTGGTTCAAGTGCTTTGCATGCAGGACACCATGGTGCATAACTAATAAAAATTGTAATATAAAAATTCTTATATATACAATAAATTATCATATATGCATAATGAGATCAAAAATAAGTAGTAAGAAAATGTTATAAATTAAAAAATTTAATGAAGCAACACAATATATACAGCAAAAAATATTTTTAAAATCTTTTAAAAATATTTCTTAAAAGATAAAATAATTCTTGAAAATATTTTTAAAATGTTTCTATGTCCACTTTTTCATGTTTAAAAAATATTTTTGAATATAGATTTAAACTAATATTTAAAAAATATGTACCAAATATTTAAGAAAATATTCTGAGTGATAAAGAACATTTTTCAAAATATTTTTAAAAGTTTTTTAAAACATTCTAAAAAATGTTATCACAAAAATTTTTTAAATAGTTTTCAAATATTCCCAAAATCATTTTAAATGTTTTTATGCAATATTTTATAGAAATATTTAGAAATTTTTTTTGAAAACATTCATAATATTTTGTGCTGTATGGTTAATAATGTAACACATATTTTAAAGGTAGCATAAAATAGATAAATAAAATATTTTACAGATTTCTTCCAAATCATCTAGTCTAACAGTGTTATTATACATATAATCTCTATATTATCTGTCGTCTAAAAAGAGCTATAAAATTCAAAACTTTAAAGATGAGAGATAATATGGAAACAGAAAAATATAGTTTATAATAATACTATTGGACTAGAAAGTACACATAATATTTAATATGTAGCGATGCTTCTTACATACAGGACTAAATAATTTGGAAGAAATCAGTAACAGGATAAATGGGCTTTATTATCGCAATAGCCTATAAAAGAATTTTAGAATTTTCTCTAAAAATATAGTTTCTGAAAATAAATTTATATTTTAATACGACAAAGATCTAAAGAACATCTCATATATTATCGAATAATTTCTCAATGTAGACAATATTAATTTTCTTGAATAGCCTTCTCAAAATCCAGATCCTATAGAACACTTACAGGGTAAATTGAATACCAAAATTAAAGAAAAAAAACTTTAAATAATACAGAATAGCTTTATTTGAGGAATGAAATTGAGCAAAAATGTTATAAAAACATTAGCTGATTCTATGCCATGGCATTTAGAAGCTTTGATAAAACTAAATAGAGGTCCATCACATTACTAATTATAAATTATTTATGTTATAAAACTTTCTGAAAATTGTTTCATCACATAATTACTTATTTATGAAAAATGATCAAATTATATAATAAAACTGCAATAAGATAAAATGCAGTTGTTTTGTAAAGTATAGTTTGTTTACATATTTATTAGCTTTAAAATATATGCATTACATTATTACTATTGTATTGCTTCATTAAATAAATTTTAGTTTATGACATTTTAATACTGACTACTTCATTTTGATTCCACTGTATATTTGTACAGAGAGAATGTCCTGTAAAAACTGAATCAATGCTTCAGAATAGATTCCTGGGATCATTTGGAGATTATGTTTCCTCAGCAAAAATGTCAAAAAAGTTATAATTTTTTGTATGTTCCCAATTTTTGTCATCATATGTCTTTATATAACTCTAAAACACTTACATTAAAATTTTATTAAAATAAACTTTACTTGCAACTAATTGAAGAATTTGATTTTGTTAATATTTTATTTTCACTTACTTAGTTTACAAAAAAACCCTGTATTTTCAATCGCTTATAAGTCAAAAATTATTCATATCAACATTTTTGTTGAAGAAAAATCATCTCCAAATGATCCTAGGAATCTACCCTTAAGCGTTGATCCTTTACAGGACATTCTGTATACATAATTTGATAGAGTATAATATTAATGAGTGTTTACTAACAAAACAATGTGTAAAAATTTAGTATAAATATATATGAAAAGAATAATTTATTTTTTAGATTATAAAGCTATATTATATCTCTTATCAAACATTTATTTTTATATTTTACATTCCAGATTAAAATTTCAATATCTATTAATAACATTCGAATATTGATTGTTTGTTATGCTATCAACACTATATAACGACAATCATCAATTCGAACGAGTAAACTTACAATTCAATCATCCATTCTCCCTTGAGCATGAGATCCCAATTATCCTCGTTGAGTTGTTGCACTAAGCTACTCTCGGTTTGTTGCTGTGCGTTCGCACTTGCATATGCAGATAATAATGCAATGTAGATGATACAAAATACAGGACCCATTTCGACAAACAATATATTTTATCTTTGACAACTACGAATGCCAACCGGCATCGTTATACAACGCCAACTCGCCAACCGCCGAACCAGAGAGAAACCTAAGAGCGGCCACCGGGATTCAGCGACCGCGTGTACTAGTGTGTCCCCTGACAAAGTGGACATAAACTATGTCGTGACGCTCGGTAAAAAAGACGGTAAATGATTCCATGATATGGTTCATGTCCGAACTATTAAGCTAAGAACCAGGGGGTCGATTGTGTAACTTTTTCTAAAGTGAAAACGTGAAAAGTGAAAAATTTCCACCAATCACGCATTGATTTTAAAATAAAATCGATGTGTGATTGGAAGAAATTTTTCACTTTTCACATTTTTACTTTAGAAAAAATTACACAATCGACCCCCATATTGAGAACCGAACAGCTAATTGTGAGTCAGACAAGGACCAACGATCTATCGCTCTGGCTTTGTCTCATGTAACATCCCGTCATTTTTTCGAAACTATATTTTTGTGCGCTACGAATCCTTTTGAATAATTACTTAAGGGTCAACAGGCGACATGGTGGAGACGCCTATCGGCCGGCCGGGAATTACAGATTCTTATTTTCCAGATATTAGCCAAAATATTGAATAAATCTTATTAAATTTAGGATATTCTTAATCAGTAAGCTCATTTGTAGTCCTCTAAAGAGCTATTTTATGAAAAAAAGATAAAAATAAAAATTTTTAATAAACTTGGGAGAATGCGCAGCTAGGAACGGGTAAGGTTGGGTTAGCCGCGAGTCCGTATTTTATTTATTATAAATTTTTAAGAGCGAAAATGTAATATCCGGCCTTTTAGAGGACTGCTTTATTATATAAAGAATATATTAAAAAAAATTCACGAAGTTATGTCACTTATTTTATGAAATATCTGGACGATAAGATTCTCACTAGATTTATAAGGAGCAGGGGAAATTTCTGTGGTAACATACTGACTGCTTGACAAGGAGAGAGCATCATTCCATCTTTGTCTCTCTTACATCGCATATGTAGTAGCGTCCATGTAGAAATGTACTTAAATTTTTCGTAGATCCTCGATTTTTTTCATTGCTTCTAAACATTCAGCTAAAAGAGCAGTTGAGACTATTCGAATAAAAAATATTTCATCTTATTTTTTGCAAATAAGATAATATATTTTTTTATTTAGGAGTCCAAAAATATATATTACGCATAAGTTATTTATAATTTTCGTTCAAATTAAGAGAATATTGTATTGAATATATTGTAATGCATATACACATTAATTTTCATTAACATGCAATTATACGGACTTGGTAAAGAAAATAAAGTTTTCAGTTTCTTGTATACAAATGTATATTTTTATTATACACATGAAAATTCGAAATGAATATAATGACGTCAGCCAGAAGGCGATTCTTTTTCAATTAATTATTAAAACAAATTTTTAAAAATATTTTTATATATTCAAATACTTATTATATTATATAAAAATTATTGTGAATTATACTCATTGGAGTAATAATTATTGATTGAAGCTTGTTATGGCACAAACTGAACATTTTGTATTATACATTGTCTGTATAATATTTTACTTATTTATAAAATGTATTTTATAAATAAATGAAATAATATATATATATATATATAATATAAGATTATAATATATATAAGATTATTGATGTTACATTGTATAACTCTCATTTCTTTCTCTCTGCTACATAAGTACTTATGACGTGAAAGAACTTACGAGTAACGTATGATGGCTCAATGCAAGAATATTTAAACACGTAAAAAACTTGAGTTCAAATATATCAATATCAATTTTTTTATAATATATATTGGAATATAGAAAATCATAGAAATATATTTTTTATATAGGCGATAAACTTAATTTGATATTAAAAATATTTTAATTATTTTACAACTACACATACTATAAATATATAAATGCAAAATAATTCCGTAAATAAATTTCAAGTAATAAATCAATTGCACACATGCACACAGCTGGTATGTAGATTTTTATTAAATTTATTTTTAAATTTATTTTCTGAATTATTTTACATTTATATATAGTGTATGTAGTAAAAATATTTTCAATATATTAAAAAATTTTTAAATCGCCGAAATATAATTTTTTTTAAGAGTTTAACTAGGCTCTGTAATATATAAATATAAATTTAACATATATAAGATAGGCAATAAGAGCCAAATCGCGGATGACAGTGCGTTATTCTAAACGAAACTAAATTTTTTTCGTTAGAATTAAATACCTGTGCACAAGGCACCATCTCGGGTTCGATTCCCGATTCTGCGACTTTCGGATCTATATTTTTCTCTCGCACTTTATTTCTTTAGGGGGAATAGGGGATACATGGAATTAAAAATCTCTTGTAGAGATTATTCCAATTTTATATCTTGGCCGTGTCCAAGTAAAAATTTGGTGCCTTGTGCACAGGTATTTAATTCTAACGAAAAAAATTTAGTTTCGTTTAGAATAACGCACTGTCATCCGCGATTTGGCTCTTATTGCCTATCTTATATATGTTAAATTTATATTTATATATTACAGAGCCTAGTTAAACTCTTAATTTATACACGCTGGCTTAAAGGCGTTTATTTACCAACATTAATATATATAACAGAGAAAAGTATAGAATCGAAAGGATCTGAATAGCTCAGTTGGAAGAGCAGTCGCCCGGCAAGCGAAAGGTCTCGGGTTCGATTCCCGATTCTGCGACTTTCGGATCTATATTTTTCTCTCGCACTTTATTTCTTTAGGGGGAATAGGGGATACATGGAATTAAAAATCTCTTGTAGAGATTATTCCAATTTTATATCTTGGCCGTGTCCAAGTAAAAATTTGGTGCCTTGTGCACAGGTATTTAATTCTAACGAAAAAAATTTAGTTTCGTTTAGAATAACGCACTGTCATCCGCGATTTGGCTCTTATTGCCTATCTTATATATGTTAAATTTATATTTATATATTACAGAGCCTAGTTAAACTCTTAATTTATACACGCTGGCTTAAAGGCGTTTATTTACCAACATTAATATATATAACAGAGAAAAGTATAGAATCGAAAGGATCTGAATAGCTCAGTTGGAAGAGCAATCGCCCGGCAAGCGAAAGGTCTCGGGTTCGATTCCCGATTCTGCGACTTTCGGATCTATATTTTTCTCTCGCACTTTATTTCTTTAGGGGGAATAGGGGATACATGGAATTAAAAATCTCTTGTAGAGATTATTCCAATTTTATATCTTGGCCGTGTCCAAGTAAAAATTTGGTGCCTTGTGCACAGGTATTTAATTCTAACGAAAAAAATTTAGTTTCGTTTAGAATAACGCACTGTCATCCGCGATTTGGCTCTTATTGCCTATCTTATATATGTTAAATTTATATTTATAATTTTTTTTCATTTTTCTATATTCTAATATATATATATATATATATTATAAAAAAATTGATATTGATATATTTGAACTCTTTATATACTGGATGATATACTGAACATCCTTGCATTGATTATACATTACTCAATATTCTTTCACGTTATAAGTATTTGGAGCAAATTATACAATAGCATCAATAATCAAAAAGGAATCAAGAATAATCAACATATCCTTTATATAATATATATATATACGCACATATGTGCATAACCATATATACAATTTCCAAAAAGTGGGTGCTTATTAGCCTTGCTACGCTACTGCCTTCTGCTACAGAAGGCCAGAAAGCATTTTCAGGCGGCATCTCGCGTATTCCGGCACGGTAGAGGAACAAGGACAACACGTGATTATCGGTCCTTGTCTCTCTACGGTGCGTCCGCGTGAGCAATGCAATGGTATATGTACGTGTACAGACATGCACCACTACATAAAACCTGAGAATTGGTTTCTCGGCGTTGGCAACACTGAAATCGGAGTTTCGCGTTGTCACCGCGCGAGGTCTCCAACATCAATTTGGAGTTTGGCCGGCCGACCTGTCGACCCTTAAGAAATGCAGTTGTATTTCTCAATATTACTATTATTATTTACTATTCATAATTATTGGGACAATTTTACTAACCGTACTAACATATAGGGTCTTCCTAGTTCTAACTAAGCGGCTCAGCCAATCGGACAGCGTCACTAGACCTCACCGAAGCGCATACTTCCAACCACGCGTATACATTCGTGCGACTAACTGAACCATATAAATGCGACACTAACATATTCAAGATTTAAAAACAATAAAACTTATGGAATCATAACATAGTAATATAATATTATAATATTTCGAATACTCAAATGATTGATAAGATGCTTCAACTACCTTTATAATAAAGGCTTCTAGCCTTGATAAAGTTATTATGAAAATTCCATAAATTTCTAGATACGCCTAATCTGAGAAACACCATTTTATCGGGCGTTAACTTGTCAATTATATTCACGAAACCTTACCTCCTAGATTATTAAATAATCTCATCAAAAATGACATTTCAAGAATTTAAGATTTTAAGATCTAATCTATAATAAATAAATTACAGTAAGGTTTACGTAAATATAACTATATAAAAGAAAGAACATATATTGTATCATGTAATCAAAATATATATAATCCGAACTCTCGCCGCTACATCGTGGAATTGTAATTATGTAATTTAGAAATTCTCAGTACTCCCGCTTATACATTAGCGACAATTTTTACCTTATAATTTTATTCCTCAATTTTAAGTAATATAAAATAAATTATATGAATTGTACGATTCCACGTTCGTAAGAAATAAGCTATGCGCGAACTCTCTGAAATGCGCTCTTTAAAATAATCATGTTGATTGAATTTATATACGTTAGTTTTAAGGCGACCTAATTCTCAGCTCTTTGTCGGCCGAAAAACCCTCGCTATTGTTTGACGCTTCTTGGAATCTGTATCTTGGCCGAATCGTTATCCACCCTCCCTCCATACCGCATCGCCTCGGTACTCTACGCGTCGAAGCCCATATGCATGTCATAAATTATGCCTCTATTTGGAACTCTTGCCCTCCTAGACATTCCATTGACTCTCCTCCTTTTTTTCACACATATCACTTACACCGATGATCTCGAGATACAGTTTACGAAGGAAC